TTGGAGCATGGCATCTGGGACATGTGCAGAGAGCGGCAGAGCAGCCACGACCGCCTCTGTGGGCAGGCTGATGAGCTGGGCTACTTTGAGCAGGTACCTGTGCGGGTAGCCCAAGGGCTAATGCCTAGCTCGCTAGTGCTCACCCTCCTGGGCTTGGTTGTGGCTAACCTGGGGGGTCGCCGCTGGGGGGAGTGCTGGCTGGCGTGGCAGGGCTCGTGCTGCTCCTCTCGGGGCTAATGAGCCTCGTATCTGCCTCTTGGTACACGCATGAGCTGTGGGCACTGCCCGCACCACCTGGCAGCACGCTGGTTGTAGGCTACAGCTTGGTGCTGAGCTACTTGGGAAGTTGCCTGGAGATTTTGGGGGGGCTGGCCCTTGCCCTCAGCTTCCACCACTGCTGTGAGGAGCGCAGGACCCCCAAACTGTCCCCCAGCCCTGTGCAGGAGGCTGGACCGTGCTCCACCCCTGAGGCTTACTGCAATCCCTGGGACGTGCTAGAAGACGAGCGAGACGGACGGCACTCAAGGAGCACACTGCCTTGTGACTCTGACTTGTAGCCCCAGCACAGGGACAGCAGTGGCATTGATAGCAGTGCTGGCTCCTGCCTTTCTAAGCATACCTTTCTCCCTGGGCACCTTGGAAACAAGAGCAAGGACCTGGCTTGAACCTCTGCTGTGCTCCAGGTCCCACAATTGTAACAAAGCCATTCTGGGTTGAGGATCAGCCTTAACTCAAGTGACTCTGTGCACTTTTTAACTCATCCTCCTGTACCATGCAGCAGCAGGACAAAAGCAGCTCCAGTGTTACCATATGAGCAAGGTACAGTCTAGCACCCTGTAGCCTTCAGGGCTGGGAATAGGGGTGGGGAGCACCTCCCACATTTGTCTGCTCAACTCAGGGCTGTGCAGACGGCAAAATAAATGAAGAGGAATGGTTCTGTACTGTGGGACGGTTATGGGCTTTCTGCCAGGCAGGCTGGGCAGAGAGCCAGGTGGGCTTGGTTAACCCAACCCCCCCGTGTTGTGCCTGAACCAGGAAGGAAAGGTCTGTAAAAGGAGACAGGTAGCTTTTATAGCACCTTCCTCAATGACTTTTCCCTTATGGTCAAAACTTAGCTCCGGGGGAGGTTTCTCCTTCCTTGTGCACAGCCACTTCAGGATAAAAAAGAAACCACAGGGTAAAAAAACCAGCATGTGTTTCCCCTTTCATCATTAACCTGGTGCGATGCAGTAAAACGGGTCTCACTGGTTTGTAAGGGACACACAGAAGGTCAGAACTGCACTATAAAAATCCTGCTCAGCACCCTGCATAACAACGGCACAAGACCCAAGCCAAGCTTTCCTGCAGAGCTATGCAGCCAGATTTCTACCCCAGGCAAGCCCAAAGTACCCCGGTCAGCAAGCTAAGCCTTACTGCAGACAGTGGATTGAGACACCCCAAGTGTGGTTAAGGGATGGTCCAGGATGCACCCTGCAGCAGGAGATCAGATTTGGGTGGCTTAGGGAGTGCATCGGGGCTGGAGACTTCCTGAAAAACCTCCCAGAGCTTTTTGCTCTGGACTCTAGGTTCTCTAGAGCTTAGAGATCTGGGAAGAGCAAATCAATCTCCCCGCCCACACACAAACCACAGTGGCACCGGGGATGCTGCACAATGTTCCTTTATGAAAATACAGTGTTGGAGTGAGATGGTTCTTTCCTCAGCGGGGCTGGCAGCTCCTGCAGAGATGACAGACGGTGGATGCATCAGGGATGAGTCTGAGCCGGCCTCCCTGGGCCCACCCCACACCTC